ACAACACTCGCGTTCTGACCTTGATCCAGTCTCAGCCCCATGTACACTAGGGTAAGCTGATCCCCATTGTTTTACCCACAAAACATGCAGTAGACAAAATACCTCCACTTCCATGAGGCCATGTCGAAAAGATGGGGATGGAACTTGTGGCATCGAGCTTCAAGAAATGCTTAGCGAAATCTGATCACCATCTGGATAAACTTTTCATTACTTGATCGCGTTTGTGATAGGGATACTAACAACTTGATACAAATACTTGATGTTTGGAAAATGTGATTTTTTTGTAGATGTTAATGACTAATTTATACTGATACCCAGTGGCACCTGGCATCTTATTGTACAATCCATGTACTGTTACTTTCTGGGGTATCCATGTTAAACCACGGGGTGGTATTTCAGTGGACCTGCACTATAAAATCGGCATAAGTCCGAACTAGTTCAAGCAGACACACAGACACAGACACAGACACAGACACACAGACACACACACACACACACACACACACAGACACACACACACACACACACACACACACACACACATGCGCGAGCTTCGCTCTATAGGTGCAATAATATTAAACGCGACGTTAAACACAATTTTACCTTAAAAAAGATGAATAACAATAATAAAAACAAACGATACCAATAATACTATACCCGAGAGTAATCCAGTCGAAATAACTGATGTCTGTCGAGATCTCTTTTGATGGATCCGCAATATCCACTACAGACATGTTGCGATTGTTAGTGTCCATGTTGGATATTTGCATGGTAAAGTTTGTCAAGACTTGACCACCACTTCTCACTTCTCCGCTGCTTGCAACACGCGGGACAATTTGTCATTAAATATTTCCCGCCATTTTACACGCTTTGGATGTTTTTGAAATCGATAAGAAAGTGACCACTTATCCCTTGTATATGTACATTCCTGGCTTCTCTATAGGCTTCCTGTTGGCCAGTGTTTGTTGTCAATATGAGCGATGAGCTAAACATTGACATTAGTTAAATACCGTGCGTCCCGACCCACATTCCTGTCATTAAGGCATAAACTGACGATCCGAGGCATTGGAAGGACCAACAACATGGGAACGTTATGCTTGTGTTTTGGCGAGAATGTTAAAGATACGATGCATTGGTTATGTAGTGTGAATCAAAATATATACAATGAATATATACAACGGTCGTTAACCCGCAATCCACGCCTTACTGTAGGGGACTGTTAGGACCTTCTGTGTTTATGAACGTGACATTACGATGTACCAACGACTCGTTAATCCAGACGGTTGCACTCGGTAATTTCCGGATTGACGACGTGTCACTGTATCTTAAGAAAATAATAATGTTTCCTTCTGATATGCAATTCGTAAAATATGTTTCTTGAAGTATTATAGTCTTTATAATGAAATGATATCCAATCCGTAACATTGTAGCTTCTGAAATTGAAAATGGTAAATTGTGCGTAATCCGTATCGCAATGATACCTACATGACATTGTGTCTGAAATGCTTAAATGTCTGCGGTGTGTATTTGTTTTTGGGGTTTGTCGAAGGGTAAATTTTCGAATAATGGTCAGAGATGTACTTCCCGTTATGGTAGTGTATTAAGTGTCTTGATCACATTTTCCCCCTCACAATGATTTTAGCGTCAAAGTTATAAGTGCAAAGTAATTATGCTTCAGACTGTTAAAACAGAAATTGTCAGCCACGAAGGATACATTTTTGCAAGGTGTTCTATATATTTTTCTATTTTTTGTATCATTGTTATAATTAGTTATAGTTTTAGTTATAAATATGTTTGTAACTGTAGCTGAAATAAATGTCCAGTATCCAGAATAAATATCCCCGCCCCCTCCGATTATCAAATAGTCGGTCCCTTACTATCAACTACTCAAGGCAAGAACACAGAAGTCCAGCAAAATGGCATATCAGTAAATACTACAGAAATATTTTAGTCCTTCCTTTGTAGATTTGAATCAAATTCGCAGAATTAGGATACATTATGTGCAATACAGAACTCTTCTGAAAGGGTTCTGGGCATCGGTAAATCTTGTACAAACATCAACAGTTATCTTGACTGGCAACAATTTCATGGGTATTATACATTTCTAAACACTAACATGGGTATTATACAATTCAATACACAAACTCCGCGAGAAACAATGCCATACCCACAGCACCAGTGTCCAAATGATGGCGGGTTAAATTCTTCAAGACAGAAGTCCTGTGAACGGGCGATGTATCAGTGTGCGGTATAGCCTCCGGTATTTCCAACAGTTGGTCTTGTGCAATGTTTGGTTACAGGAGCACGGGTGTTACGCTCCACAAATAGTCGCTCTACACACCCGAGTTGTGCAATGACCGGTCACTCCATACGAGTATTCCTGGATGAGCATGTTACTGAATAGTGACACGTGTGGAAACACTCTCTGGCAGTTGGTTAGTTTTGTATTTCGTATGGAAACAATGACGTAAGAAGGAGATTCCGGTGGTCAAGTGTGTTTGCGTTGTGTGTTGACCCGTGTTATGGTTGCGATACTTGTGGCTACAGTGTAACCATCCTTCTATGTGAATGAGTGTGTGAGTGAGTTGGGTTTTTCGCTGATTTTAGCAATATTCCAGCAATAAACCCGCGGGGGACACAGGAATGGGGCTTAATATTGTTCTTCTCAGTAAGGCTGTCGCCGTTAAAAAAAGAATAATAAGTGAGTGATTTTAACGCCCCTTTAAAAAAATATTTCAGAAATTAATATCACTGTGTCAGTTTGATGTGAGGAAAGCCTGAAGTGTCTTTGGTCGTAGAAGTTTGGTGAAAATCACGATCACAGCAAACTATGGTTCCTAATGAGTTTCAATGCTATCTATATTTATGAAAATGAATCAAGAAATTATTCCTTATATTGACATCACTAGTACTATATTTCTGTTAAACGTTCATATGTGCATGTGTTAATACGATTGTTGGTTCCACCAAGGGGTCATTTGTGCATTTTTTGTTATTGTTATAATGTATAAATGCCATGGTTTAAAATATACTTTATGTATAATGTCTTAGCTGTTTGCACTGGACCCTTAGAGATGTATATATATACAATACTACTACCTTATCTTTATATTTTATAAGAGGGAGAAATATATTTAGCGCCCGTATGGTCTTGTTTCATTAAACATCAATTATCAAATTGATAACAAATTAGACAGTTTGGACAAGTACTAACTAGAATTGTACTGTCTCCCAAAATTAAACTATCATCTCCTTATTGGCGTCAGAAAAGCACGTGTTAAAATGTCACGAGGTCCCAGTCAGTGGTGATATTCAAATACAGAATTTGATTTAAATACGGTAACGTGAGCCGTGTGTCGGCCGTCATCTGGCGGCGAAACAGCCATATCGGGGACCACACAACCCACAACGAGGCACGAAATGAACGCCATCGTGTGTTCCCAACGCTCATTGTGCCGTGCCGAATGAAGTCTCCGCAAACCAGAGCAGCATGCATATAAGAAATCAAAGAGGATCCGGGGTGGGCTATTCTAGTGGAGAATCTTGCTCGCATCTTTTCCCAGTATTTCTGTGTTTTTCTTTTTTCCAACGCGGAATAGGACGCACTAGACTTTAATCATATGCAGTACGCTACTGTTATTGTCAGATGGCAAAAATACAGGGCTGAGGGTTTGTTTACATTTTCGGCATTCGACTTCCCTCGGCCGATTTGCCTTCTTAGTTTGGCGGAATGTTCACGTGTAACACACACCGTATAACCATTTTGCAATGTTTTATCAACTAACCAAAGCCAAGAATTAAAACAAGAGATAATTTGCATTCAATGAAATGTAAACAAGACATAGCCTTTCTCATTTTGATATCTGAATATCAAACGATATTCATATTTCTTCTCTATGGGAAAGGAGCGTCGAGCTCTAAAGGTCAATTATTTAAAGAAGTGAATATTGGTCATGTCAAATAATGTCGCCCAATGTGAAAACAGATGCCGAAGAAATCGTAGAGTTATCATGCCACCTCGATCGTGAAACAATAGTTCTAAGAATAGAGGGTGATAAACAGCGTCTGGACGATGCGAGGGTGCCACGATAATGTATTCTCAGAAGACACATTGCGCGATCAAAGGTTGAAATCTATATAGGCAACATAAGTTTTTGCTGTTTTATAAAGCTCACACCTTGTCTATATGACCAAGGTCCCAGCTAATTGGTGTCATTATACACCTGTGGGTCTATCTCCATTTAATCAGAAAAAAAATAATCTAAACCAAAAGAAAGTAAACACTTGAGAAATGGATTTGACAAACGTTATTCAGACAGTTGCCGCAACACTGCAAACTGAAGGTTCAAAACCGAACTATGTGGCACCCGTATAACCATTACTTCTTTGTTTCATGTTTAGTCACCATCAAGCATGCATGTACACTTTGTTTTGACCGACAGTTACTCTTTTATAAAGCACACATGTTGTATATATGGCCCAGTGCCCATTTAATTGGTGTCTTTGTATCTATGTACACTTGTGCTCTGTCTCCCCTATATCGGGAAAACTATATATGGCTTGAGCACGCTGAGATACCTTGTAACGAGCGAAAGCACCGTGATGATAGCAATCCGCATACTCTTAACTGCACGCGCGGATACAGCGTTCTGGAAAGAAGAGGGCGAGGGGTCGTTACAAATGTTTTATTTTATCTATTTGTTGACAGTAAATATGTCAATCGGGAAACAATTTGGTTTTTGTCTTTGTATGCAAGGATTAGTCAATTACCACACCACCCCCTTCCCCCCTTCAAACTCGTTGACTTGGTTGATTGTGCGGCGTACTCCAATGGCGTAGGACGCTGCACATTATATCGATCATTGGTTTGTCTGGTGAGATTATTTACAGACCGTCGCCATGTTGCCGGAATATTGCTGAGTGCGACGTTATGAAAGAAAGAAAAAAAGACACACCATTGTCAAATCAACATAAACTTATTCCCACCGTTTCTTTTCCAGATACATCCTTAATGTGCAATCGGAAGTTACCACCATCATTTTGGAATAGTGCATATCAACCGCCGCCATCAGCTTCCGGTTCCGCTCACAGCAACTTCCCTCTCAGTGCGGACTCATACTTTCCATCCTCTCTATACGGACTCCATAAAAACTGGCCTTATTACACGTCACAAGCCCACACATACGGCCATCAGGGTCCCCATGCCTTTTCCTATTCAAGCATGGATTCTGCAAGTCGTCTTAACTCACATTATAACTCTCTTATGATGCAAAACCCTTCACTCGGCGGACGTATGGATTCCAGACATGCGCAGTACGATCTTGGCAAGAGCTCGGACGCCTTTACCGCCGCAGGATACTATTCTATGGGGCGCTTCGGGTCAGACATTGCTTCAACTGTTGGCGTCGACTCGGGGATCTCAGGTTGGTTAGCGTCTCGCAAATGTTACTAGGGTTGCCTACAATTATATTTTGTGTTGGTCTATTGTTTGTAAACTCATATCCGTCTGTGTATAAAATGTTGCGTATCTGAGCCAAGAAGCTGGAATGTTCTTCTGGGTTGAAGTGTGTGTATGCTACACAATACCTTGCCCTTTCAACATATCTCGACGTTTTCTTTGCTTTAATGTCAATATTTCAGCCGACAGACTGGTATGACAAAATAGACTGATATGAGTGGTTCATTATTTTTGGTATTTTATGCAAATAAAACTCTTAATAATTCAGATAAGCTTTCCCCAATCGTAAACGAACACATACTGAACTGTAATACGCATGAGTGAGTAAGTTAGGCTTAGCACCGCTTTGAACAGTATTCCTGTTCTATCACGGCGTGTCAGTTTTGTGTGGGAGGAAATCCCGAAGTAATGAATGTCTTAGACGTTTACCACTTTGGTGAAACTCACGGGCACAGGCATGGTGCTTACAAACCTAAAAGCATAATCGGGGTCACGATCATAGGTTTCTGGCATGCCCAAAGGGACGCAACTCTGCACAGCGAATTAAGGCGCCCGAGACAACCCCGTAAATAGGAATGAATACTGATTATATGTTTTGTGCAATTTTATATGTTTTTTTCGCTATTTGTTTACAGGTTTGGATCTTCCTCTACAACAGACGAAGAAAGAGATGTATTGGTGACAGTGAAGACGTATCAACTCATGCCAATCACGTGACTTGCCAACGTCTGATGAACAAATCTACACGGCAGTGACAGATTCATTTGTGGTCTGCAGGAAGAAGCAGTCGGGGTGATTTCCCTTTGGAGGACACGTGACACGCCAAATCACGTCGGTGGTTCGAATGGCATTTAAAACAAATCACGCGAGAGCGGCGGAGGCCCCGGTCGTCATTGCAGACAACCTGCACCAACAAAGATTGCGCCGCACGTGCAGTGACTTTAATGAATTACATCACAGAGCGCCCAGGGCGTAAAGGGCGCATGTTTTATATGTATATATGCTCAACTTATTGTATGAATGGGCACTTGTATAAACTGGTGAACAAATGAGAATATATACCCGGGTTTATTTTTATTCATTACTACGTGTGTGGTATCTTAATATGTTTGTTTGGTCGACATTTGCTCTTTTGGGTAATTCTGTTAACATTTGCAATATTTATGCCACAGCCGTGATTGATGTAAGGCCCGGGGTCCTGCACTTCCGGGACAAACCAGCTTTGAAGGTGTGAGCGACAGCTCATAGTGCACAAATACGCCGTACTGTGAAATGCCACAACCATCACAGTGTCCGCGTATTTCTGTGTGAGGAATGTACAGGGTGCACCGAGTCAGCAAATACTGAACAAAGGATTTAGACATGTTCACAGTAACAAGCGGATTATTTTAGAATTAAACCTAGCTTTGACCTTTGAAGCCATTTAATTGGACACGGGTTGACAATTGGTTTAAGGCGTTGCGCCCCTTAGTCGTTCCAGGATGCGCTGATAATTTTCTCCGATTATGTTCCATGGGCTGTCTTTCGTGGGGTTCAGGATAATATTAAATGTCCTCGATCTACATTACTTGAGGCGTTCATCCTAATTCAAGATGACATGGGGGCACGGATGAGTCGTCTAAGGCGCCGCAATTTGCTGAGCATAATTCCGCCCTTTGGGTATGCGTGAAACCTATGACTGTGGGTTCGAATCCCGGTTCGCCCCGATGATATTTCTAGATTTGTCAGCGTCATACCCGTGGGTTTCACCAAAGTGGTAAACGTCTGAGACCTGCATCATTTCTGGCTTTCCTCCCACATTAAGCTGACACGCCTTGTTAACTGGAATACTGTTCAAAGCGGCGTTAAACCCAACTCACTCAAGCCAACATGCTATGACAAACTGATACATCCAATTCGCCCATTCATGTCATTTTAGCATAATGGGGTTCACCGGATGGGTAAAATTTCGTCCTTCTTACACCAAAAAGTCATTGTCTCAGTGTCTCTGAGATACTGTCCAAAGAGGCCTAAAACCAAAAACCCCACCCTCCTGAGACGCGGAGACAAATTCGGTGAAGGGCGATCACCATCATCCTACAACAATTACTAGGGAGGTGTACAAGAGACGCCTAGGAATAATCACTAACAGCAACAGCAGACGGTCTTAAGTATACAACTTAACGAAACAAGCAAAACATTTTAAAACAATTATTTTTTTTGTCGATGGAGCGCTTTTACACACAGTAACCTGAGCGGTACGAATCTGTATTATTGCATAAGAGATACAGCGGTTCCCTTCCCGATACACTTCCCTTGTCCAAAACTAAGATGATAGCCTTCACGAGTTTATTTTCAAAATTTAAAAAAAATGCTTAAATAAGCGTGATAAAGTTTAAGTTTTGACCTTTTTTGGTTGTAGAGTGTTGTTTCTTTATTTCACGAATTTTTTAAGCAACGCTGTTTGGGCTCAATATCGAAACACAATCTATGTTAAAGTAAAAAATCCCCGTGTGTTTTGTATCCCGACCAACCTTTCATTTAATTCTGTGTTCCCGAAATATTTACTACTTCTGTAATTCGTTTCATTAATATTCTTATTATGCTTGTCGCAACAGCGACTAACGGGATCGAGTGGTCAGGCTCGCTGACTTGGCTGAAGCATGTCACCGTATCCCAATTGCGTGGATTGATTCTCATGTCAAACACTGGATTGTCTGGCCCAGACTCGATTATTTACAGCCCGCCGTCATATGCTGGAATATTGCTGAGTACGACGTTAAACAACAAACCTTTATGTTTGGGGGCGGTTATCTTACACACAATCACAGATAAATCTCAGCTCGAACTCCATCAAGTCGACATACCATTTAAGACGATTTAGGTTCTAAGACCAGACAGAATCATTAGCGACATTATGGTTCAATGTTTCCGCTTATCTCGAACTACAGGAAACTCGACTTGTTTTCGATGCTGCCCAAGACTTCGAGGTTTAATTGGATCAAGGTTGTATTGGCGCCCTAACTCCGTATCCATCGAGAATAGAATTTAAGACACTGGCCGTGTCTTAATAAGGTTATAAACTCGCCGAAATGTCAGAACATTTTTTATATATATTATAATGTTTCTTGTCTCTTTTACGTTTCAAAGACTGAATTTATTTTAGTTATGCACAATGAACATCGACAAAAAGGGAACATCATCTACATCGGTGATACATGTATATCGCCGGGTGTCACCTTTAAAAACTCCAAAGTCACAGTGGTATTATTACGCTAATAGCTTTATGTTCCGATGTGGCGCTGAAAGATCGTGAGTCCCTGCTGTCGCTTTGTTGCGTAATACTGATTTAAACTTTTCACTGTTGATGCAACTTATGTTAACACGTGGGAGTTTTTAGCTAAAATTTCTCCCAATGGAACTTCAATGGAGCAAGCAGACGTGAGTCCTCGGGAGTATGAGAACTGGAAACTGACACAATTCGAGTCCTGTCTCAGGCTCCCGACACTGTCGCCAGTTAGGAGCTTTAAACTACCCTGAATTCTGGCTTTCCCACAACTTTAAGCGACAGTCTCTCAGCTATCTGGACAATCAAGGCAACAGTTGTTGAAAAGTACACAACTCTTTTTCTTACACCAAGATTCGATGACAATTTCTCAAATTATCAACTAAATCATTGTACGACTCGCGGCAGTTGCTGCCCATAAGTCAAACTCCTCGCACCACACTCTCTGAACCGAGGCTGTTTCGGAGCCGGAATTTATCACCCCCTCACAAACGGCAGGTCAGGGGCTAGGCAGTTGTGAAATTGATTAAGAATATGAAGTTTGCTTCCTGTGTTTTTTGCATACGTGTCATTATATGCTTCACAGATGAAAATAAACAAACAAGCCCTCTTTAAACGGCGCATACAGTGTGGGACTCCCTTGCCGGAGTGAAATAAAATAACATTTACGGGTAATAGAAAATATTGTACAAAGTCTACGGATGGAATAAAAGTTATGTCGTGGATTCCCCATGGAGAACAAACTAAATGTTTGCTAAAGAGAAAACGAGCTGGTTTTATAGGGCGAGGGAACACACGTAACCACCTGCAGTTCACTCGGGACTTCTCGAGATATTTCGCCACTTTTCGCTTATTTTATTCTATAATTTCGACCACAGCTGAAAAATGCAAACAAATATTGCTTCATTTTGAACAAGAAAAAGAACTAAATGAAACCAAAGCAATTATTTCTGCCCATACGAACCAAAACGTAAGCACAAATTCAGGAATCAAGAACCCGAACCCTTTCCCGAAAGTGTGAGTATGGTTTTACGCCGCTTTTAGCAATCTTCCCGCAACATCCCGCGGGTGACACCAGCAATAGGGCTTGAGACATTTTACCCATGTGGGGAATCGAACCTGGGCCTTAGACGTGACCAAGGAACGCTTTAGCCACTTCTCTACCCTACCGCCCTCCCATCCCGAAGATGAAGCTTTTGGTTACTTATAGATACATTCTTAATGTTACATACATTATTGATAAGCAGTCGATACAACTGATTGAGAATTAGTGAATATTGCTTTGCGCCATTGTCAGGAATATTGTTTTCTATGCCAAGGAGCCTGTGAATCTGGATCCGGCAAACCAGAGGTTGACAACATGAGCACCAATCCATAATGAGCTGGGCCACACATAAAGCTTGACCTTCATTAATCGACTCTAAGCTAGGGACCTATTCTCAGGCGGTATCCCTATGGGGTACCATAAATGTCACTTATCTGAAACACTACCATTGATAAACTTGCCACACTTTAGGACATGGTACCAAGACAAACAGCGTCTTGAACTTCACAATATGTTTGTGATTGTTGAACCATCATGCTGGCGGCGACATCAACTACACTCGTTTGTTTGTTTGTTTATTGTTTAACGCCGCACTCAGCAATAGTCCAGCTATATGACGGCGGTCTGTAAATAATCGAGTCTGGACCAGACAATCCAGTAATTGACATCATGAGCACCGATCCACGCAATTGGGATATGATGACACGCACCAACCATATCAGTCACCCTGACCACTCGATCCCGTTCGTCGCCTCTTACGGCAGGCACGGGTTGCTGAAGACCTATTCTACCCAAGATCTACTTGAACTGCAGAAGAAACATCAACTTGCGTCATTTCAGATTTGAGTGTAAAACTTTAATGCGTTGGGGCAGTTTCGACATGAGTGATTTATACAGACCCAGCAAGCCTCTCGTGAAGAAAGGGAGACCCATGATCTTGCAGCATGAACACAGGGTGTAGGAGCCATGATAAATGACAAATGCTTTTTTAGTGGAGATTCGCGTCACGCTGGTATCATGATGTTGATTATTATACTGGCACGTTAGACATAAAGGTCCTCTATTTTTACAGAAGTTTTATCTCTGGCCCGGCACTCATCTACTCATTTGTCAGTCAACGGATGGACACTTTCCTACACATTCAGCAGCAATGTCCTTTTTTGCAGCAAAAGCTCGGTGGATATTTGTCAGCATGTGCACATTGCATATGCTTCAGGACAGAATCCGGAAGAAAAACACTTCAGGGTTCATGGAGTATGAAGACTACTTGATAAAATTCCTCAAAATACGTTTGTCACTGACAATCAAGTTGTCAAGGGGAAAACATTTCCAATAAATTGTCATATGTACACTGTTCCATCGAGGTGTCATGGACATTAGATGTAAGACTGATAACGTTGACGAGTGATACACTGCAAACAGTTTTTGTATTTATGAACTTAACAACCTCTGGTTGATTAGGGAATTCGGAACAGGGTTGATGCCCTGTACCCAATGCCTATCAATGAGTGAGTGAGTGAGTGTGGTTTTATATTTAGCAATATTCCAGCAATATCACGGCGGGGGACACCAGACATAGGCTTCACAAATTGTTCCCATGTTGGGAATCGAACCCGGGTCTTCGGCGTGACGAGCGAACGCTTTAACCACAAGGCTACCCGGCCATCCGTCTGTATTATGAGCCGTGTCAAGAGGACTGGATGGTTACAATGGGGGATCCCGTTTATTGTGTGTTATCATCCCCGGGACGTGGATC